AGTGTGTGTGTGTGTGTGTGTGTGTGTGTGTGTGTGTAAGGCTGCCTGGCTCCTCACTCTGGGAACAGGGGTGTGTGTGTGGTGTTGCAAACCCGGTCAGCACAGGCCCCTCAGACGCGCTAGGGGGATGGTGACTTCACTCCTCCTCTGGCTTACACGTTGTCAACACAGAATCAGCAGTCCTGGTGGCCGCCTGCCCTCGGGCTGCGCTCTGGGCCGTGACTTATGGGCATGAACTTTTCTGCCATCCTAACAGCAGGCGTCCCCTGCACCAGCCCCTCCTCCCTGACAAGGAAGCTGAGCGCAGAAGGGCAGAAGAGAAGAAGAGTAGAAGAGCAGAAGTGCGCGCCCAGCACAGTGAGGTGCAGCCGGGCTGAGACTGGAATGCTTCTAGAGCCCAGGCCCTTCCAGGTCATAAAAACCGCCTCAATCACTGCACACCCCGAAGCAGCCATCAGTGACGCAGTCGTGTGGTTCGCTATCACTCCAGGGCGGAGGGGCGGGGGGGCAGGACCTGAAGACTTTACTTCGGGGCGGTAAGGGACAGACACCAGGACCCTGGTACCTTTCCCAGCTTTGCTCGAAGCCTTCTCTCCTCCATCCTTCCCTTCAGCACTTCCACGTCCTCCTTGGTGCCATTGAGCACGATGACGTCATCCTCCTGGAAGGCAGCCCCGCACTGGAGAGGAAAAAAGAGAGAAGAAAGATTCCATCATCCCACGGAAAGCTGCCACCCTCAGACCCTCACTCTTGGCCCAACCACAGGTCCTCGAGCTCCTGTGTTCTCGCCTGCATCCTGGACAGCTTCTGAGCCCGAGCTCTGCTTGGGCAAGTTTCCATATGAGGTTAGCATGGCAGGCCTGCCTGCAAGTCTGGCCCCAGCTGATGTCTGGGAACTTGGATTCTGAAGGGTTCCTCCCATTTTCTCTGTTGGGCTTCTCTGCTTACAGGTGTCCCCACTGGACATGACCTCTAGGCGCACGCGGGAGCAGGGGTCCTGTGCAAAGACCCAGGCACAGAGTGGGCGGTTAGGAAATGTTTAAGGAATTATTAGTAATTCTTGTTGAGCACCTACTGCTGGCTCATCTCAAGATGACTGACTTAACCAGAGCCTGGGAGATGCCATACCCAGCTGAGCAAAGGCTGAAAGCAAAGAAGCCACGATGTCACATTTTAGATGCAGAGAGAGGTCTGTGAGCCTGACCTGACATCAGAGTCTCCCCGGGGGTCTCTGGGACCCACCGCCAGCTTCTGATCCAGGAGTTCTAGGCTGGGACCCATGATTTCCATTTCTAATGTTTTCTCAGGTCCTGCGGATGCTGGCTGTGGGGACCTAGGCTGCGAGAACCACTGTTCTGGAGTTTAGGTGGGTGGCCAACTAGAGTAACTGGGCTACATCCCAGCGGGGGAGGGGAAGGACCTTTCTGGAGGCGAGGCCTGCGTTTCAGCTCTTCCCTGGGCTGCGGCGGCCTGGGTCACTCCCACTGGGGACCAGGCGCTGCTGAGGACAGGATTCGGGCCACATCCGCTCTGGGTTTGTTTCCCTCTTGCTCTCCAGAGCCTCACTGCCTGGACCTTGGCCTCAGTTACCGCGTCTGTTAAATGGGGAATGAACTGAACTCCCAACGTGGTCGTGGTCGGGCTGAGGCAAGACCGAAGGTCACACCGCAGGGGTACAGCACAGGGCGGGGCACCGGCTCCACCAGCACCGGCGACTGCTGCAGCTTCACGCTTTCCTATGGTACAGCCGCCTGTGTCCCCGCGGGTGGCTCTCCAGGATGCAGCTCTCAGCACCATGTCCCTGACTAGCCTCCCTCAGGCAGAAACATGACATACCCTGCGTATCTGCAAGTTCCTCACCCATGGATTCAACCAATTTCAGATAAAAAATATTTGGGAGAAAAATTCCAGAAAGTTCCAAAAAGCAAAACTTGAATACTATGTAAATAGCTGCCACTCACTGGTGTGCAGCAACCCTTTACATAAACCAGCAACTATTAACATTGACCAGCAATGGCAGCTATTTACCTGACATTTACATTGTATTTACAATACCCAGCTTTTACATTACATTGGGTATTCTGAGTAACCTAAAGATTTAAAGTGTACGGGAAGATGTGTGTAGGTTATATGCCAATGCTACACCACGGATCCCCGGATCCGAGAGAGTCCTGGACCAATCCTGACCACCCCCCATACTGACAGATGACAGTACACGCTGCTGCATCTCCCTTGCTGGGAGAAGTGCGCCCCCTGGTGGACGGGAGAAAACATAAGGGAGTCTCATTGGATTCCTCTCGACTCCACCTGGGACTTTGGCCCTTACCATCTGATGGCTACATATCCCTTGTGGATCACTGGGGCAAATCTGGGCTGTGGGCACAACTGCATGCTGAGACCAGCGAGGCCTCCTTGTCTCCTGTGTCCAGAGCAGTAACAGTAAGAGACCCACTGTGCCTGGGATCTTTGACAGAAAACATCCTCAACACAAGACAAGACATGCAAGTGCTCTTTTTCTTAAAAGCTTTCCCAGCACCTCCCAACACATAAAGACGTCAGTCAGCGTCTGCTGTGGACTTAGCTGGGTTGCGTGCTGTGGTTCTGTGTCCAGAACCCACCGCTTCCGGTCAAAGTTGGCTCCTTGTCAAGGGTGAGTTGGGTAAGCCTTCACCACTGAAATGACCTTCCTCTGACCCCAGAGTCCGGAGGCTGGAGCCCCAGAGAGGAGTCAGTTCTAGGAAGGATGAAAGAGGACACGTAGCTGGGGCTGCCTCTGAGGAACAGGAGCTTGCTTTCCAGCGTCACTGCAGGGAGGGCCCCGGGGAAGCTCCGGGATGTGGGAGATTTGGGTAGAGCCTTCCCCAGGGGGTGTCCTCCTTGGAGAGGGAATGAAAAAGAATCCGTAGGCACAGACTCAGGTGGAGATAGGCCCAGTGGGGCTTGGGGCTGGGGCTCTGGCGTAAACAACCCTCCTGAGCCCGCGGCCAAGAGGGAGAAGGAGCTGCGTCTGCTCCCACTGCCCGATGGCCTCGCTCCCGCTCCTCCCCCGCGGGCTTCCTGCGTCTTCTTCCCACATTGCTGGCTGCCCCTCATCCTGCCGGGTCAGCAGCCCCTCTCCCCACACAGGCCAGTTTGGTCTACCTCTGACTGTGGACGCTATTCTACCTACAGCTGTGGTGTAAGTCACCAAGAGCTGTGTTTTTAAAAGTTGAATCAGCCACTACCAATAAAAAGTGGGGAACCTCTCACATTAAATCTTGAGATATCTTGTTCTTTGTCGCCAAAATTCAAAAGATCCACTAACACCAAACCCGCCGCTTCCAGGCCTCAACTGCCTGGACCTGAGCAGGCAGCCCCTGGAGACTGGCTGCAGGCCGTCCTCTGTTCTGGGTGCCTGACCCTGGCAGGCGTCTGTTGGACACCAGGAACCTGGGTGGAGTGGCCCATCCTTGGAGACAAGTGACACTGGGGCAGGAAGCAGGTTTCTGGCCAAAGCCAGCTGCACACGGGGCCTCTTCTCCAAGGACTGAAGGGCGGAGGGTCACTTTAGAAAGGGAACGCAGGGCTGCTGCAGAGGCACAGCTGGCCCACCGGGGCTGACCCTCTCTCTTTGTTTATAAAAGTAACATGTACACAAAGTAAAAAACACCGATATTTTCCTGCGAATGCATTTTTCTAGGTGTACTGTTACTGCGAAGTTGAAATCATGTTTTATTTTCCATTTCGCTTCCTTTGATCACTTGTACCTTAGATTTCCAAAAAATGGGGGGGATGACTAAATACATCATAACATAGTCCTAAAAAGGAAGAGCACATAGTTATTTTAGGGTTTTTGACAATATAGAGAATCAATGCTTATCACATGTTAAAGAAAAAGCTGACTAGAAATTGTATATTCATGTGATCTCTGGACGTTGATTAAAAAATTTTTTTTCTTGAAAAAGTAAAGGCCAGTAGGAAAGTGCTGAGGGGACAGCGGTAGAATTAAGAGTCATATGCTATTATATTTGTGTATTTATATCACAAACAAATGGAATAGTGGTTTCTCAATCTTTGTTCTTACAAATAATAATTGTGATGAGCAACTGATCACATGCATCTGACTGGAAAATCCCTCTTCTGAGACTTGCTTGTTCTTTGTCACAGAGCGCTGTCTGCCTCCTGCGTTCACGGCTTGTGAAAGTGGGTGTGTGCCCGCTTGTGTGTGTTGACTTTTAAAACAGAGCTTCTCTGTCACACTGTAGGCTCCATGTGGCAGGGATGAATGAATGAAAGAATGAGAACATAGCCTAAAGAAGTATTTCAAACCAGGATGAAAGGGAGTGAAATTTTAAAGCCAAATAGCTCCCCTAAAAGGTCTCCCGAACTTGACACTCCCTACAACATGTGAGAATGTCCATCACACCACGCAATTTGAAGGACATAAAAAAAGTTAAACGTTAATCTGAAAGGCAGGAGAAGATATCTCCTTTTTGGCTTTGATGAAGAAACATTAAAAAAAACACCCACCACACCCATATTGGTTCTTCTGTAACTTACAGGTTTATGCTCTGTGTCCATTTTATTTATTAGGATTTTCATTCTTTAAAATTTTAGTTCAATCAACCTGTATTAAGCAGTTGCTACATTAAGCCTGTTAACCTTTGTCCATTTATTACCCCAGCTCCTCCAGCAGGTTTGGTTTGATTCTGCACTTTCCTGGGAGCCATGGGAGTGTAAACCTGCCTCTTCCCCATCACTTCCTCAGCTGTCTCTCCCACAGCTCTTCTCCAGGTTGAGAAGTGAGCTAATGGGTGAAATCCACCACCAGTCCTCATCCCCCAGGAACAGGCCTCTGTGAACGGACCCGCTGGTCCAGCTCAGGCACACACAGTATGATTTAAAACAAGCACTTGGGGTCCACAGGGGCAGAGCTGCAGCAACACTTCACAAGTTGTCAGGGTGGTCTTTCTAGACATAAAAGGACCTTTCCTTTCCCGACTCCTGCTAGATCAAATTACCCCCTCAACTCATGGAATCCAAACACCTCCAGACAAACATGTACAGGGTCTCTCCATTGAAAGGCTGCATGGATCTGTCTTAATATAAAAAACACACAGTCACACAGTGCTGCAGTCCCTTAAGTTTAGACAGACTAGGTTTTATCTGCCCAAGTAAGAAGCCTTCTTAGGGCCACGGCAACATCTGTTCCACAGAAGAGCAACAGGTGCCTTGAGTCGCCCACAGCAGGTGAAGAAAAGCTGTACTCATCTGACTAAATACTGAGCTCAGGTGTCTCAGAGTCTCTGTGGTGTGTGATTCACGTCTCTTGGTTTCATTATTCTTAATACATGCGTCTGGGGCAAATCTAAAGAGAGGACCGGCAAGCGAGAGGTCCTTCTGACCCAGAAAAAGGAGGCTGTTAAGAGTAAAAGTATCCATCAATGGAGAATAACGAAAGTGGGGAGTCCACTAACGGTGGAGCAGAGACTCCACCTCTGCCACTTGCTGCAAACTCACCCTTGGCAGAGGGAGGGACAGAGGCAGGGAACAGGCTGACCTGCATCCTTGAAATGAGGTCCTCTGGAGAGCCACGCTGAAACACTCGGACTGTTCCGAATGCTATTTAGGAAGGAAATGAGATTTTTAAATGATTTTTATTTATCCCTTTAATGAAAAAGGGTCCGATGACTAAATTTG